GGGTGGATTTTTGTTTTCTTGCAAAGGATAAGAGGAAATTAAAAATCTAGAAAATAAAAGTTGTGGCTACAAATTGCCTATCAATTTGTTGTATCCCCACTCCATTAGCCAATCCTCTTCACTCACTCGCCGAACACATCTCTCTCTCTATCTCTCTCTGTGTCCAAGGGGCAAGCCAAGTGCTTTTTGGTTGCACCTGGTCCTCAAAGACTACAACCAGGATTCATTTGTAGAAATTTAACCAAAAAACTAAGGAGAGAAAAACATAAATACATAATAAATAAGCAACAAGAGGTAAAAGATAAGTACCACACCTCTCTCTCCCACTTATAATCACATGCAGTTTTTCCTCCCATTAAGAATAATACTAACAAGCTACTCCTGTTGGCAAAAGCAAAAAAGATAAGATTTTTAATTAGACAACAAGAATTTCCTGGCCATGGTATATAGTTAAGAAAAAGATAAAAGGTAGGTTTAGTTTTGCCAGTTTTAGTTTGATGAGCTTTGGGAGATATGTCAGGTGGTGCTTGTAGCATAGTTTGGTTCAGGAGGGATCTCAGAGTTGAAGATAATCCGGCACTTGCAGCTGGTGTTAGAGCAGGTGCTGTTGTTGCAGTTTTTATATGGGCACCTGAAGAAGAAGGCCATTATTACCCCGGGAGGGTGTCAAGGTGGTGGCTTAATCAGAGTTTGGCTCATCTTGATTCTTCTTTGAGGAGTCTCGGTTCTTGTCTCATCACAAAGAGATCTACTGATAGTGTTTCTTCTCTTCTTGGGGTTGTTAAATCTACTGGTGCTACTCAGCTTTTCTTCAATCACTTGTATGGTTAGTTTTCTTTTCTTTTCATTTCATTCCCTTTCCCCCCTTTTTGTTGGATAACTAAAAGAATATTGTTTATTTTTTGTCTTAATTTGTTGTTGTGTTACTGCTTGCTGTGTATTAATGACAAAAAAGTATTTATTTTTTACGCTGGTTTGCATGGGTCTTACATGGATCATGTCGATTGACCATTTTGAGGCTATTATTTTATTTCCTTTTATGCTTTTCTCTTTCACCTTCTTTTGGGTTTTGCCTATTTTAATCTGTTTCTAATATAATAATCGAGTCTTACGAGCCTTGCACCAATTGAGTTAGATTCTTGTCATTCACTAGTCAAGCTGCTTTCAAACTTGGCTAATTTTTTTTTTTTTTCTGATTGGTTGATTGATTCTTCTCTGTTGCTTATGTTTGTTCATAAATAGGCCTTACGCAATTTTGGGTTTCCCAGTATGCATTTTTTTTTTTCTTTCCTTGGAGGTTGCCTATGAATCGTCCCTTTGTTGACACTATTAAGATTGGCCAGTTCCCGTCGAAATGATCACATTTTCCTTTATGCTAGTGTTTAAGTATTAGCATCTTTAATTGGCTAAACAAATTTTGAGTAAATCTGAAATTTCCTTCAACGAGCTTGTCAGGTTCTTTATTTTTCCCATGATGTGGTTTAGGGAAGCAAAAGAAAAAGGCTCTATGTTTAACATTTAGAGAAAATTTGCTGCTTTTCAGATCCTATATCACTGGTTAGGGATCATCGTGCAAAGGAGGTATTAACGGCCCATGGTGTAGCAGTGCGATCTTTCAATGCAGATTTACTTTATGAACCCTGGGATGTAAATGATGCTCAGGGCCGCCCTTTCACTACTTTTGCTGCTTTTTGGGAAAAATACCTTAGCATGCCCTATGACCCTGAGGCTCCACTTCTTCCACCTAAGAGAATAATCTCAGGTTGATCTCCTTTGAATTCTGTTATTGACTTATTAATCACCATTATCAATCAGTTTCCTTCTTTTTCCCTATTGTGAATGCGTTTGATTTTGATAGATAATGGCGATCTAACATATTTGGCTTACAATAGTAGTGAACTTTAACGACGTAAGAGTTGGAAAGTCAGGCTTAGCTTGAAACCTTCTAGCTCTGTGATTTCGGTTCCTTGAAGTTAAAATTTATATTATCTATCTTTATATCCTTCTTTTACATGGTACATGTTTATTGTCTCTCTGATATAGGTGATGTGTCAAACTGCCCTTCGGATCCGTTGGTGTTTGAGGATGAATCAGAGAAGGGAAGCAATGCACTTCTAGCTCGAGCATGGTCACCTGGGTGGAGCAATGCTGATAAGGCATTGACCACATTCATTAATGGACCTCTAATTGAGTACTCTAAGAATAGAAGAAAGGCTGATAGTGCTACAACCTCATTTCTCTCCCCCCACTTGCATTTTGGGGAAGTGAGTGTGAGAAAAGTCTTTCATCTTGTCCGCATCAAGCAGGTTCTATGGGCCAATGAAGGGAACAAGGCTGGAGAAGAGAGTGTGAACTTGTTTCTCAAGTCAATTGGACTGAGGGAATATTCAAGATACTTGAGCTTTAACCATCCTTACAGTCATGAAAGGCCTCTTCTTGGGCATCTTAAGTTTTTCCCTTGGGTAGTGGATGAGGGCTATTTTAAGGCATGGAGACAAGGTAGAACTGGTTATCCACTGGTGGATGCTGGCATGAGAGAGTTGTGGGCCACTGGCTGGCTACATGACCGGATAAGAGTTGTAGTTTCTAGTTTCTTTGTAAAGGTTCTGCTGCTTCCCTGGAGATGGGGTATGAAGTATTTTTGGGATACCCTCTTGGATGCAGACTTAGAAAGCGATGCTCTTGGTTGGCAGTATATATCTGGTACTCTCCCAGATGGTCGCGAGTTGGACCGCATAGATAATCCACAGGTTTGGCTGAAATTTTAGTTAGTGGTCTTGCAGTTTGTTTTGTTACTTGGTTTCTGATGCACCCTGAAAAAAATTCATATTTCCACTAATTATAATGATATAATTATGTTACCAGTTTTAAACTCATTCTATATCCTAAGCTGTCTTTTGTGGCACTTTCAGTTGACATGTTAACTTGATTAAGGATTCTGTTCCTCAAAAAAGTAGTGTTAGCAGTAAGTTTATGAAAGTTCATGTTACTAGTCCTCTTATTTTGTTGAAAAAAATCTGTTTGAGATCTGAATCATTTGGGTATTTGATACCTCTGTCTGAACTTCACTGTCTCTAGCAATTGAAGCTCTACGTGACTATAACTGTTTCCTAATCTCAAGTATGCTTGCATGCATAAATATGAAAATGTTGCAGAAGGAAACTGAAGCTTGTATTGCAAAAATTTTACTCTATCCTCCCTAGTCCTACCTAGCCATTTTTCAAGTGACATTTGTTTATCAAAAGCATAAGAAATCCTTTAGAGCCGAATGTACTTAAAATATACTATATGGATTTACATTTATTCAAAATTATCTTGAATGATATATGGCGCCAGCTTTGTCATTGAATTAAAGTTTTCTACAGTTTGAGGGTTACAAGTTTGACCCACATGGAGAATATGTCCGACGGTGGCTTCCTGAACTTGCAAGACTGCCAACTGATTGGATACATCATCCATGGAATGCTCCTGAATCTGTTCTTCAAGCTGCTGGAATTGAGCTTGGGTCAAATTACCCTCTGCCTATTGTAGGAATAGATGCTGCAAAAGCCAGGTTGCAAGACGCACTTTCAGAGATGTGGCAGCAAGAAGCAGCTTCAAGGGCTGCAATTGAAAATGGAACTGAGGAAGGCCTTGGAGACTCTTCTGAATCAGCGCCATATGCCTTTCCTCAAGACATACAAATGGAGGAAAACCTTGAACCAGCAAGGAACAATGCTCCAGCTACAACTCGGCGTTATGAGGATCAGATGGTGCCTAGCATGACTTCTTCTTTGGTGAGAGGAGAAGAGGAAGAACCTTCTTTGGATCTTAGAACTTCAGCAGAAGAGAGCAGAGCAGAAGTTCCAAGAAATGTAAGTATAGATCAAGAACCACAAAGAGACATATTAAACCAAGGAATTCCACAAACAGTTCGTAACAATAACACTTTTCTGCAATTTAATATCCCAATGGTGGTGGGAAATGCTGAGGATTCCACAGCAGAATCTTCTAGTAGTAGTGGTAGGAGAGAGAGGGATGGAGGAGTTGTTCCAGTTTGGTCTCCTCCATCTTCTAGTTATTCAGAGCAGTTCATAGGTGATGAAAACAGTATTGGTGCGAGCTCAACTTATTTGCAGAGGCATCCACAGTCCCACCAAATAGTAAACTGGAGGCGATTATCTCAAACTGGGTAAGAGAATTTGAATCATTTTTCCAGGGATTGTCCATATTTTTCTGTTTGCAGTTTAAAATTTTACTCTCTGATTGGTGTCACAATGAAATTTGGATGCAAGCGCCTTCCTGGCTGAAGATGCTTGCTTGAAATTGCATCTTACTAGTAAGGACTAGCACAGGTGCTAGCAAATTAAACATATTGGCTCTATAGGAGTTCTAAAATACTTGAGATGTATCAAATTCATCAATAATTGAATGTAAGCATTATTGAAGTGTTACCGCATCGACTTCCATGATATGACTCGTTTTAATCTCAAGTCCTAATCTTTGTCTTGTCTACCACAGGTGAAACAGATACACCCCAAAAGACTGGAATCTTGCAGTTGGAGAATGCCAAAATGCCCTTGTGGGCTAATGCGATGATAGCATGCCTCTTTATCTACCCCCATCTGTGAGTCACCAATCTAACTTGATCAGCAGTTGACCTGCTATGTGTATGAAACTTAAAATTGATACAGCAGCTGATTGGCCATCTTTTTCCCCCTATTGTATCATATGCATAGTTCTGCTGTATAGTAATTTGTCTTAAGAAAGGGAAAAGAGTCATGGTAGAAATGTGTAGTCGTCTAATAAAACCAGGTTTGTGTATTTACTTTTAACTGATTAGGAAGTTATTTATCGTAATTCATAGTTGTGCTATCTATTTGTTTTTCCAGCTTTGACCACATCACAGCTATTTTTTTTTTTTGGGCTCAATCAGCAATTTTATTTATAAACCGGTCACAAAGGACCGGTACAACGCATGGTCACTGAAACCAGAAAGGTTCAGCGATCCCATGCTACCACATCACGGCTATAGGTTGGAAAAATGACAGCAGAATGCTTCTTTCCAAAATGCTGTAACCTTATATTCGTCCAATTCTTTGATTCGTATTTGTTCCATTTGGTTTTGGAAGTTCTTAGTTAAAAAACGCATTGATCAGCAGGCAAAATTGAGTGGGCTCCCTTTGTAAAGACTATTGTAACATTGCCGTCAGGCATAGATCAAAATAATGCATTGATGACCTCTCCATCTATGAGAGTAGGATAGCTATGGATTAGACTTCAGGGTGAATATAAAGTTCATTATACATGCTATTGGTGCTCTCGTCAGGTTTTTCTGGTTAAGGCACTCGAAGTATACTGTACACCAAAGTTGCAGCCATCGCGCCAAGAATAGGAGCTACAATAAAGACCCATAGGTTTTTGTAAACACCAGAGACGACAGCAGGGCCTAAACTTCTAGCAGGGTTCATTGAAGCTCCTGTGATTGGCCTGCCAGATACAAGGAGTTCAAAAATTTTATGACGTATGGTATGATCAAAATTATTGTGCATGAAGAATGGTTAGAGCAATAATGAAGTACAAAAATGATTGAGATGGTACTGGAAAGTTCATTTACCCTGCTATAATTACATTAAACAGCAGTGTAGCACCCATCGCAACTCCACCGATATCTCTGCTCTGTTTTAGTCAATCAAAGATTCAGAATTATCATGATTAATATTTGTACGTATAAAATGTCAGCCCGTGCAATAATCTCGCGAGAAACAAAAGATTGATTAAACTCTATTGGTCTCTCCAGCTGTTCATTTTTATTTTTTGGACTCAACTGTTTTCAAACAGACCAAAATGAAAAGGAGAGACGAAAATAAGAATAATGGGAATTGTGGTCAATGCATGAAGCCAAAACCTATCCCTCAAGTTGATTCCTGAGGAATTGAAAAGAACATAAAGCAAAGTTCAACAACTCTTGTTCTATCTTACGTCTTTCCAGAGAAGTTATTGAAAGCAGAACTTCTAAGGTACGCCAAATATTTGCAGGTAAAACAAAAGCAACTACTACAAACTTAATCAATATACCGCTCTGTGATCACTGATCAGTAGCGACAGCACATATGTTGAACATCAATATGAAAGTGATTATGAATTCCCATGTGATGGCTTCAAGATCACTAGTTGAATTTTTGTATTGGGTCATTGTTACTTGGATGCCACCTTGGTCATCAAACAATACCCTGAGGGTCAGGCTAGCGAGGGTTGCTCCCAGCAATTGAGCCAACAGATACATAGGTACCTTGACGGAGAAGCAAGCCAGGTTTTAATACATGAAGTTGATACTAAAGAGAAGCGAACATATATGTTGCAGTAAAAGGTAAAATTGTTTCTAATAATTCCTTACAAGTTTCCATGAAAATTTGCGGGCAGCAGCCAAGGCTAGAGTGACTGCAGGATTGAAATGAGCACCAGAGATATGCCCAAGTGCGTATATTGCTGCCATCAGAACTAGGCCCCATACTATTGCTATTCCCACGATGGTTAGTGTTTGAACTTTGTTTACAAGAGCTGCCGCGCAACCTGCAAAGATAAGGAAGTATGTGCCTACAAGCTCTGCAACAGTCTGTTCACAGAAAAATGAATAGTACTTATCACAAGAGACCAATATTTGTCATGTAATCAGGATGAAGTGCGTGACAAATAAAAAGCAAATATAATTTTTACCTTTTGTAAGTTTGATGGAGGGATGTCATGGTTAATGGAAAATTCTTGTGAACGATTAGCTTTTGCCTCTTCCATAATAGAGTATTTTGTAGGAAGTGGAAGTTTAGGGGAGACCACTTCCATAATAGTGTGTTTTGTAGGTGAAAGTTTAGGGGAAAACTCTTCAGTAATTGAAGGCGTGTTGGCCATTGTAGCTCTTAGAAGCTAGACCAAATTGGGGTTGAGAACTTGTTTGTAAGTAGCTTTATATTATTTCTGGCTTGGCAGGCACAAAAAAAAAAAAGGAAGACCGAGAAAAATTAACTAAAGGGCATTGTCTTAGAGGGATTCTTTGTTAAATTGCTCTGGACTCAACATTTGGGCTTCATTGCACAGTAATCAATCTGTTGTTTATTATTTTATTAAAAACCAGACCGATTCAACGTTAAGAACAACCATTTGGAAGTCATATCCGCAAGTATTTGGAATCATTTGATGGTATCAAAGACTTGTACCAGAACTTTTCAACTAAGGGCATTTCCTTTTGTTTCTTTGAAATGGTTTTTCTTGACAGACAAAGATAGCTAGACAATTCCTGCTAATTCAGACTGTTCACTGGCTACACTATAACCACAGTGTCAGTCGGCAAATCGTGGTTTTAAGAACTAAAAACCAGTGACTTGTCCCTGTCAGTATAGCTTGTAAATTCAGAAAATGGAATAAGTACATTCCAGACAGAGAAAATAAGGAAAAAGACTTGTAGGTCTATAATCAGGATTCAACGCCTTAATTTGTGGCTTTTAGTATGCGGCTCGATATCTTCATTGTAATTGTAGAAATCTTAGGCCGACCTGGCTGGCTAGTCTTTAAGATTTGATAGTAGCATATTCTGTAGGGTGTTTTGGTGAATTTTATGTGCCCAAGTTTTGATTAGCTGACTTCGTTGAGTGCATCAAGAACTCCGTTAATTGCTATCTTTGTCCATCTGGTTAATTGTGTAGGAGGGGCTTGGCCTGTAACGAGTTCTCTCAATGGTATATGTTTTATTTTATACCCTATCTAGCAAAAAGGTTACAGTTATATGTCGCTAAGAAGTTGTAGAAACTCGTAGGGGTCCAAAAGACAGTTGCTCCACATGGTTAGCCAGCCAATTTCGTACAAAAATTTAGAGCAAGGCCTTTGTTTCCTTAGGAAAAAATAACTTTCAGCCGGGCGGCCCGCGGGGGGGAAATGTCACTCACTCTCCGAACACTTTCGGCGAATCAGGATTCCATAGCAGTCAATTGCTCAACACGTTCTTTATTATTATTATTTTTTTTTTTTGAGTAAAAGATGTTCTTCACTTTGTTGAAAATGCTTTTGAGGCTTCTCTTCTAGTGTAATTAAAAATGATATCTCTTTAGCGCTGGAAATTACAAGATTCCTCTCGGCACCATTTTGTCAAGATTTGCAACTTTGCTACTTATTTTCCTTATTCTGATAAAGATTTGATAGAGATTTAATGGGATGCATGAATGAACCCCCAACTTCTTACTGAAGGATCTTGCATTAGACAAATTGTACAGAAGAGAGCAGGAAGAGGGGCCGGTGACCTTGTGACCTGTTTCCCAATACTAAGTCCATCTCCCTTGCCAAGATTATGGGATGCAAAGATATCTCACAAGAGATTCATCTAATAATGATAGCCAAAGCTAGGACAAAAGAAATGGAAAAACCAGCTGGTCCAAAGTTGCTACATATCTTCCCCTTATACACAAGTATGAATCTTGGATGTGAAGGCTATTTATATTATATGCAGTTAAACTGTTTAATTCTATTCATCTTCTTTTTCCAAAACATATGCTTTAATTTCATGCAAAACTAATTTTATATTAAAAAAATCATGATAAACATAAAATTTTAATTTTTATAAAATATCATCATTACATTTCAAAAATTATTTATATAAATATACATATACTTAAGCGAAGTTATGACCATAGATGAAGATTAAGAATGAACCTTTTCACTTGAATGTAAAATGTTTTATGTGCTGGGTGATCTGATAAACTATACTAAAAGCGGTTCTTTGGGTGCCATAATACTAAGAAGCAATATCACAAGAATCATGGAATGCTAGGACTAGAAATCGCACCTGTCTTGTAGGGCATAATCCATAAAGCCTAGCTAGCTAGGGTTCATAATTCATCAGCCATTAAGCATATGTATGGTTTCCTTATACATAGAAGCATCAAAGGTACTGCAAACATTTTGACAGATCAAAGCATCGGATTCGATTGGGAGCCACGGAGCCGCAGTGTAAGTCAACGGCCTTTTTATAGCAGAGAGAGATAAGGATCAGCTAAAAGATTCAAATAATTTTGATAATTAAAGCTCTAATGAATACGCCCTATGTTATTATGGGGATGAAGCAGCTGCGCGCCACTGAAACAGGAAGCCCTGGTGGTGGGTATAGAAGCTGTCATCATTTTCAAAGGGAAAAAGAGGTGTGAAGGACTCAGGAATAATCCCATTATTGTAGTTATTTAAAAGAGAATCATAATTTGGGATAATCTAATAAATGAACAAGATGATGTGTTCCACTAAGTAATTCATTCTCTCAAGTTGAGAATTACATTATTTTGACAGTATAAACTAATAAACGTTTGACACGTGTATCGATTCTCACAAATTCTTCCTAAACCCTGTTTTATTATTCCCCCCTTGCCCCCCATCTTCTTTCTCTGTCCCTTTCCTTCCTTTCCGAAAGGAAATCTATGGAGAAAGATTAAGTTGAAAATCCTTTTCTGCTTTCTTTTCCCCAATTCTCCTTTTATGACACCTTATTTTATTGGGACATTAAGGTGAACAGAGGGCATGAGCCTTCCTAGACAAGGTTTGCAGACTTGAATCGGCACCTCAAAGGAGCAAATTTTCATGATATATCCCATGTGAGGGGAGCCCATTTTGTTCCTTTTTTCACTTCAAAAAAACACAAAGGATAGAAAAAGCACGAAACCTGCCAATGCCATTTTTTCCATGCAGGACGTACCAATTCATGTGGAGTATTATTGATCGATGTTGCTTTATCACATTCGTCCTGCAAAACACATCATTCTCTACGAGATCAATTATTACCTTACGGTGATTCAAAAAGCTGTCAGACAAGAACCACATTGAGATTAAAACAGGCCGTAAACCATCTGTGTTTCTGGATTAATTGGTGTACTTTTCTTTGGATTAATGTTGGTTTAAACGTAAAATCGCCACATTGTCAAACAAATACACAAGCAAAAGCAGTAGACATATATACGTTGACAATTCGGAGCGCAAAAAGTGATTTCTGTTCGGCAAGATTTTCTTGCCCATTTACATCAAAGAGCTTCCTCCGATGCGTTTCTTCTGACTGGACTGTCTGGTCATGTCACGTGTGCTGGTTCCTTGAATGTAAACAATCAGAACCATTGGCCAGTAGCTGTACAGTCATGATTTTGGACCAATTCCCCTCCTTTTTGGTTGATATTCTACGAGACCGCTCAAGATAGCAATGATCAATTTCTCTTCCTTTTTCCTTCCCTTACTTCTTTTGTTCAGTTCAAAATCACCAGTTTGATTGGGTAAATAACAATATCAGGAAAATATTAAAATATGTCAATAAAGTTGGTTCAATCTGTTAATTTATTCATTTCGAAATAAAAAGAATTTGAACGACTATAACTTTTATGGATATTATTCAAAATATAAAATCTCAGCCGAGTGAAAAACAAATGTTTATATCCTAAAACCACAAATTTTTGTTTGAACTTTTCTCTGTTTTTTATTAGTTGTTGGTCTCTTGTGAAGCTGCCAAAGACTTTTTGAGCAACTGATCTCTTGCCAATTGTACAAATTTCCTTCCCGGAGCCCTTTTTTGACATGCTATAAGGAGTATTTGGTAGTTGCAGTCTTGGATTAGTAATGCCATTTACCTGCTGATGAGGTTAATAAATTCATCTTTCAAAAAAAAAACGTGGTCTTAATTTGAAGGTTAGAGCAACTTATCTGTTTCTGAAATTTTATTAACCAAATAAAAGAAACCCTTTGAATATTATTTGATTGCTGCAACAAAGGAAACCATTTTGTCAATGTTAGGCTGCTAAGTTTGTATTCTGCTGCTACCCATCTCAACAAAGAATTTTTCTTTTTCAACCTATATTCCTATTGCTGAAATTGTTCTGGCTTAATATTGTTGTTTAGTCGCCAATGGAAGTCTCTCTTTCAAAAAGGCTGAAGAGCCTATTAATAGGTGATGAACATTTGGTCAATTTAGGGGATAAAGCACCAACCCAATAACAAGAACAAATTGGAACACCTTTATGATGCCTGGGAATCAATTCTTTCCCCAGAAAACTAACAATATCTTTTGTGCCCAGGATTAAGGATGCTTTCGCCGGAGTTTGCAGGGGAAAAATTTTGTATTTGCTGGCTGGGTACAAACAGAAAGTACATAGCTTGCCCTCTTGGGGATAACAATAAAATTTGTTCATTAAATCTCTTCATGGTCAAAAAAATAAAAATAAAAACAGCTCTCTCGTTATATGTCCAAACAACTTATTATTTGTGGATTCTATAAGATAGACAGTGATAATAGATGTATCGCAGTATCGGCTATTACTTATTAGTAGTATGGAAATATGAATTTTTTGTAGTCAACTATTCCTTAAAAAAGGGCATATTTTCCCAATAAAACTAAATGTGGTGAGGATGAAATTTTCAGAATTGAATAGAATTGTTGACTACTTCAAAAAAAAAAAGTAAAATGGTTAAATCAAATTAAAAATTTGAAACTAAACCTTTCCTCACCTTTATCACATGACCAAGCCCAAATTAGTTTAGGTGTTATTAAAAGGAGGAAGAAGAGTCTACATTGGCCGTGTGGACACGGGGCATGGGGGTGGCGAAGGAAGAGCCTACAGGATGTGAAAACTAGATGGTTGGTGGGATTAAAGGGCAGAGGATACAGGGCAACTTGTCAGCCCATCGATCATCCAAGAAAATGAATATTAGTATATCTGTCACGCTTTGTAAAGGCAATTGAGTTTCTCAGCGTCGTACTACTGCGTAATGTAATTTATGTCAAACCGAGTTTGCTGGACCATGGTCAACACACCCACCAACATTGGTAAAACATGACTTCTTTCTTGGGCATATCAAAATCCCAGAAATGATTCCCTTTCATTATTACTACTAGTAACAACGAAGATTGTAATTTTTTATTTTATGGTAACTGTAATCAAAAAATGAAAAATTTTGTAAGGTGTTAGTTTGATTGTGAAATCTTTTTTAATAATAAAAAACTTCTTTCATTCAAAAGGAAAGGAGTCTTCCCAAACTAACGCATCATGCAACTCACAAAACCCAAAAGAATAGCTCTTACCTCATCATGCAAGTGGCGGCAGTTACCAGAAGCTGACCTCTATGGTCCCTAATCACCGCTCTCAGCCCTGTCATCTTGTCCTCGGCGAAAATGGCAGCATCAACATTGTTCTTATTGACAGCATCCACACGAGGGACAAACCAGATATTAGCTCCAACCTCATCATTTGATGGACAAGCAAACTCACCCATGACAGACCTATATTCATCCAAACTCCTAATTACTAGAACTTTTAGCATGAGATGGAAGAAGGCGGGTACGTGTCATCATGTAAGCATTTATTGTGGTTGTGCCAAATAAACCAAAATGTGGCCATACCAGCCTTTAAATCTCCACCCTGTACCACATTAAGAATTGTAGCGAAACACTCCAATAGAGAGAAAGATGCAAATGGCGACACATTTATACTGGAATATATGAACTCCCAATAAGCTTCGACTTCAAGGGCATTCAAAGGAGACATGCAGCAGTTTTCCTCCTCGTAGAAACAGATACAACACCGAGTGTCCACCTTGCAAGAAACCACCATACCTTGTAATCTTCACCTTTATGATCACTTTTGCTTTCCAAATAGTTACCTTAACCGCCATGCCTTAACATCATTCACCACAACTCCCTCACCTTTAAGCCACCATCTTGGCACATGATAGGCTAATTCTAGCGTAAATCTTATATCTCTAGCTTCATGCCATATCAACACATTCTGCATAAAATGAGAGCTCATGGAGCCTGTAATCACTTCCGCATATAAAAAATATTTTGCTTTTAAAACTTGGAAACACAAGGTATCTTGTTGATGAACTAATCTCTAGCATTGTTTAGCTAATAATGTCAGATTAAATGTCTCATAATCACGAAACACCGATCCACCCTCAACATTTTGTATTAAGAATTTGGGTCACCTTCTTTAGGGACGGAGGAGGGTGTTTGAGAAGGAAAGGGCTAGTTCCTCTTTAAGATTATGAAATTGAATAATAGTTTCAACGTAGTTCTACATTTTGACTTTCTTCCAAATTTTTTTAATATTAAAAAAATGTTACATCAATAATTAATTATTAAATTGAACCTAGAATAAAAGAATTAAAAAAAATATTTACATAAAAAACAATGGAAAATACGCGTTTAATTTGCGTTTGGACATTGGTTAACACTTTCATTACGTCAACTGTCGCTAGTCGGGGGGGTTGGTAAGCAGATATACGGTTTTGGTAAGTATTAAGCAAGCTAACTGGTTAAGGTTTGGGTCCCATGATAAATAAGAGCAAAACTTGTTATCCCTGTATCCAAACAGATCTCCAAGGAAGCCTTGCTTGTTCCTGATTTAAATATTTAAAATCAATAAGCAAATGTCTTAAGATATTAGTAGATTAACCAAACAAGTATGAAAAATCTATGTCAGAAAAAATTTTACACTGTACAATCCAATAATCAGTCAAAGAGGTATGTCCCCTGTTTGCCACAGGTAAAAAGAAGATGAGGGAGGAAAAGGAAAAGAAGAAAACTTTGGGCAGAGACAAAGAAAGTGCCAAACAATGAAAACAGACTGAAACAGCAAAGTCAACAGGGCAGAAGTCTGCTTTGTGGCAGCCTTTTCTTTTTTGTTTTCTTTTTAGTGCTGCAACTCCTTTCTTTACAATATTTCCTATCACAGAGGAAGGAGACTGTTCCTAAAAACGGTTGCAAATCATCATAGAGGCAAAAGGTCGATTCATGCTCTCCAATATTTGTTTTCTCAAGTAGTAATACTTTTTAACCCTTTAGAAAAAGCTTTCAAATGTTCTCCTCTTGAGTCTTCACCCTCTTCCTCTTTCTTCCTTTTCTTTACCTTCATTTTTTTATTCAATTGCTTGTGCAAATTAATTAAAGCCCCCTTTAACAACAAGGGGAATAAGAGCCCCAACTGCAAGAAGAAGGAAAACACAGAAGAAGAATAAAAAAGAGCTGTTTTATCAGGCGCCAGCTTCACCAAGCAGCAGCAGCAAAAGCAAGGTCATATTTTTACCTTGAATTATCTTTTTCCTGGTTTTTCTTCAACACCCAGTTCTTGTTTTTGCTTCTTTTTCTGCTCTTTTTGTGGTTTTGGGGGGTTTTAGCTTCTAGGGTTGTGGTTTAAAGGGTTTTTTTTAATGATAATTTTTTGGGGGTTTCTGATGCTGCAGACTTTGAATTTGGAGAAAACGTGATCAAGAGCTTGATGCTGAAGAGAAATTAGGCAGGCAAATTAGAGGTTTTGCAGAAATTTTATTTACTATGGATTGGTTGTGCTGCTTTAGTTCATCTCAGGTAAACCAAATTTCTAATACTCTTTTAGGCTTCTCTTAATGGTCCCATATTAGTTGGGGAAACAACACTCGATTAATTGGTAGTTTAATGAAGCTTGGTATTGATTTGTGTTAATTTTGAAGTTATGTTGCTTGGTTTCTGTAGGATTTCTATATGAGCTATTAGGAGTTATGAGTTTGGGTTGCAGGAAGGGTTCTAGTGAGATAAAATTGAATAACTCTTCTGGCTATTGAGAGGATTTGATCATTCATGTTAGATGTATATTAGGATTTTTCGTAAGTACTTCCTGATAATTAGCTCCATGGCATCAAGTCATTGAATTGTTCTGACCACCGTAAGATTAAATTGCTGACCGCCTTAACCCTTTTCTAGGAGTGGTGGTGTGGAGTGAAAAAAGTAGATTTCTAACTTTGCAAACCATTTTAGAGTTGCTATTTTATATAATTTCCTGGTGCAGTTTAAATGGTAATTCATATATGCAGCCGTTTATGTAATCAAGATGTTTTTGTTTTACCTCTTTGCTCAACTGCCCGTTATGAGAAATTCATCACATGTTTCTTTATTTCAGTTAATTATGAACTGTCATTACACAGCTTGTTTAGAACAGAAATTTGAATTAATTTTCCATGCTAGAACTGCTTGGAAGGAGAAGTTGTACTATATGGTTTTCCTTTCCTTTTTGTTGGGTCATATTTGTCCTAACGTTCTGCTGATGCCACATGTTTGACGGGTTTGATAACTGGATTGCTTTAAGCTTGCTTTTGTTTCTTATTGTCTTTTGTTTGCCGTTAAACAATGTGGCTACGTAAGGTTTACATGAAATTTATTATTCCTACTTTATCTGTTTAGCTTGGAGGAGCACGTTCATCATCTAGTTCTGGTAAAGGGAAAAACCATGAGGGTATGATGAGGTTTGGTTTCAGCCTAGTAAAAGGGAAAGCTAATCATCCTATGGAGGATTATCATGTCGCTAAGTTCATGCAGATTCAGGGACACGAGTTAGGGCTTTTTGCTATCTACGATGGTCATCTGGGAGATAGCGTACCTGCCTACCTACAGAAGCATTTGTTTGCCAATATCCTAAAGGAGGTGGGATGTACCATAATTATATGTTTTGGTTTATTGATTTTGAATTAGCATGTGCTCACATTTTCTCACTTTCTCATTCTAGGAAGAGTTTTGGGTTGACCCCTTCAGAGCCATCTTGAAAGCTTATGAGAAAACAGACCAGGCAATTCTTTCACATAGCTCGGACTTGGGTCGTGGTGGATCCACTGCTGTAACTGCAATATTGATAAATGGAATAAGGCTATGGGTGGCAAATGTTGGAGATTCACGAGCAGTTCTTTCAAGAGGGGATCTGGCAATACAGATGACTACAGATCATGAACCCAACACAGAACGAGGCAGCATTGAGAACAAAGGCGGATTTGTCTCAAATATGCCAGGTCTTTTACTGTAGTAAAATTTTAGAAGTTCATTCTTTGAGCTTGTGCACATCTAGTTGAATATGGTCATAACTAATATTTTGGTTACACAGTTGGCTGGTCAAATCTGCTAATTATCTATAAGCAGTTTTGCATCTTCTAATCCTTATAACTTTTGTGCAGGAAGTTACTAAAGGAACTAGTTATCTAATATAACTTATTCCAGCTTTACTACATACTCATTTCCAGTTCTGAGCAGTTCCTAATAAGCAAATAAATGTCCATGTAGTTTCCATCCATAGGTATAGTTGTGTAATAACAAGATAATTGAGTTGTAAAATTACTGTGGAGCAGAGAAGATAAGATTAAGTCAATGCAGTCTCCTCTGTCCTTAGTCATGCTGTTTTCTAACAGGCAGAATAATACCGTTTGTTGGTGGCATATTTCCACTTTTTCATTTTCAGTAGAATCTTAACCTAGGATATGGTATTTTCCATAGGCTATATATGAAGTGTCAATTCAGTATGTGATTTGAGTGTAAAGGAAATTACTTACATGACTATTTCGTAGATTCCTGGGATAATATAGCACTAGAGAGCAGAACTTCCTTGTTATGAAGAAAAATTCTCTGGGAATATCATTTACTTCAGTAGTTTCTTTAATCTCAGATTGCACCTTACAAAAAAGAATTTAGAGCAGAATCTGATATTTGGAAAATGCATTGTTGATTGAATTCTAGTTTTTCGTTTAATGACAAACAAAAAATGAGCATGAAAAAGTTGTTTGCATGCATGAAAGATAACAAGGCTCAGAAAACATTGGTTCAGCTAATCCTAACTATAGAAGTTTCCACTATTGTCAGCTGTTGCTCTAAAATACGTCGTTTTCCTTGTGTGAAATATGACCCTGAATTGGGGATCCAGAAATCGTCATTTCTAATTTGCTAACATGATGAGAGACATTGATTAGAATGCATGACTGACCAATTGACAATTTAGCAGCCTAATGAGCAATAATACCTGATATCATTTCATGCATAAAGTTTGTTTGCTTGGACTTCTTGTTGTTAAGTGAGAAAAAAATGCTTGAGGTCATCAGATGTTTGTTAGATTGTTAAATTTGCTGTTTTTGCATGCTATCAGGAGATGTTCCCAGAGTCAATGGACAACTGGCAGTTTCACGTGCTTTTGGAGACAAGAGCCTTAAATCACATCTCCGATCAGATCCAGACATTCAAGACACCAACGTAGATAATAGTATGGATATTTTAGTCCTTGCAAGTGATGGTCTTTGGAAGGTAAATCATTTTTGTTTGATGTCTCTTCTTATCGCTGATCCTTATTAACCACTTTGTGCATATGTAAAGAATTGTCTCAGCAATGCATGAGCTGGAAATAGTTCTGTAGGAGTTATTTTTCCTTTTGCATATGCTTAATCCAGGTGATGACTAATCAAGAGGCTGTTGATATTGCAAGAAGGTTCAAAGACCCACAGAAGGCAGCAAAGCAACTAACTGCTGAAGCAGTAAAAAGAGACAGTAAAGATGACATATCGTGCATCGTCGTTAGATTTAGGGGATAGAACTTTTTAAATCATATTGCTCTTCTGGTGCAATATATACCTGAAATAAGAGTTTATTTACACAGGATGCCACTTTGTGGATTAGACCACCATGAAAATATATACCTGGTTTGGGTAATTCTTGAAGTTCTGCAGAAGTAGAGGTTTGCAATTTATGCCGGATTCACCCCATGTATATTCGTTTTATCAGTTAGGTTCTGATGTTTGATGTTGTTTGATTTCTTTATGAAGGTGATTAGGAATTCAATGTATATTGTTATGGCATGAAAATGTCTCACTCACGTCTGGCGTGTAGATGAAGTTGGCTTGATTGTCACTGGAGGAATTTTCATGGTGTGGTTGAATATAGTTACCATGAAGGCCTTATATATCCTCCTTTCTGGCTTTTTATTTTTTATTTGAAGCTGGCCGTCGGAGAGTTGAAAGAAGTCTTCTTCTTGGGGCGCTTGATCAGGTTTGCTTCGTAGTAAACCAGAACACAAGTTCCCTTTTTTCTGCTCAAGTTGAGGTTGCTTACATTCTAACCTTAGCCACATCTTGAAGTTTCATTATTGAACTCATTGACTCTAATTACCCGTAAGAATTAACCAAGTGGACAACTCTTGTGGACAAAGATGTTTATAGTTAGGTACAAAGTAATTTAAGTTATAACTACATTTATTTATTGGTCAATTAACTTAGTTCTAGTTTGAACTCTGTGTTTTCGTTTAGCTATCCACGTACATGATGGTAAAAGTTGGTTCAAATTTGCTTACAATATCGTATGGAAGTGTTTGAAGTTCGAATTTGGTCATTTTATTATCTTAATTCGGTAGTTTTACTTTATTTACTTTTATTTTAATGATTTTATTAAAAGTTGATTTAAGGATAATTAATAAAGATATTTAGATTTTACTTTCTAACTTGGATGACCAGATATTTTGGATTCATTTTTTGATTACGTGAAATTAATTTAAAAATATATAAAGTAATTAATATTTTTTAAAATTCTAAAAAAACAAACTTTAGTTTTTTTTTTTTTTGTATTAATGTGTACCATATGATAAAAAGAAGTATAAGTTGACATGTTAGCTTATTAACAGCAAGGTTGCGTGTCAAATTTAATTGTAAAAGTTCAACACCATTATTAATTGTTTTTAATTGACTTATAATAGTATAATCATTAAATTCATTGAGATAGTGGAGAAATCAAATTAAAAATTGTAAGTATAATAATTGCTCCTATTAATCAAATTGGTATAGTGCTCGTAGCTATATTATGAAAAAAATCATATGAAATATAGATTATGTTGAACTGAATTTCAATTTGGTACTTTTAAAAGAGTTTGCAAGAAAAATCGTATTACTCAATTGCATGAATGTATGGTTTTTACTAATAGAGGAAAAGATAAACAGACATTAATTGAAAATAATTATTTGCTTTGGTTTCAATAACTAAAACTTATTTATGAATACATGATTTTAAAATAGTACTTAATCAAAGAGAATAATAATCTTATTAGTTTTTTTTTTCATTAAAAGTATATTGTTTTATGATTTAAAGGTTTCTATATCTGTTAGATGATGTATATTAACCTTTTAGATGCAGGACTTATACTTAGTTAAATGTTAAGAGAATATAAACTATTACACAACTGTAAGATATATCTAACTATGGTAACAATTTGCTTTTCCTTTTACCATATACATTTGTTTTCATTTGTTTTTATGTTTTTGTTGTTATGCTATACTGTATTATAGAACTACATAAATGTATGGTTCTTGATGGCAGAGGAAAAGATAAATGGATATTAATTAAAGGTAGTTATTTGCTTTGGTTTCTATTATCAAAAACCTATACCTACATATATAGTTATAAAACAGTACTTATCCAAAGGCAATAATCTTACAAAAAATTGTTATATATATAATAAAATATTAAAAAATGAGAGAGCATATAACTTATACTATTGACAAATTAAGATAAACAGTTGTAGAATATAGAGCAATAGTATGATGTAAGGATCTTATTAATATAAAATAGTAACTAATTTTTAGGAGTATCTGCCTTTTATATATAAAATAAATGATTAAAGGTTATTAAATTATGTTGATTTGTTTATTCAATAATGATTGTGTGTTATGTATATTGAGAAATAAATAGACCTTTTGATTTTTTTATTTTATTTAATAAATTAGATGAATATTTATTAAAATTTAAATATTTATGTATAAAAGAGATGTTTAAATATTATGAATTCATATTCATATATAATAAGAAGATATAGATAAAAATAATATTAAATTACAAGTGATAAATATTAAATAAATTTATCCACTAACCATTAAAAGTTAAAAATTATTATTTTCAAATATTTTTGATGAAATAACAGATATTAATCAATTGACCCAATTAATTATCTTACTTATATATATATATATATTAAAAATTAAAAATTATTATTTTTAAATATTTTTATTGACATAAATAAAAAAAATTAATTTAATTAAAAATAACAGATATTGACCTAATCAATTATCCTACTTATATATATATATATAATATAATAGATAATAGATATACTTTCAAAATCGGGACACAATTTAGGAAAGTGAAAGATATTACTACTCTATGATGCTACTATAAGTCCATGGCCTTTAATGGGTCTTAATGGAGAGGTTCATGGTAACAATGGAAAAGTGGAGAAGCAACAGGCCGAAAGGAATGGGCTGATTTAGGCCCCTGAATGATCTGAATCATCCTCAGCTGCGGACAGGGTAATCACTAATCCACCCATTAGGGTTTAGTTCTCAAGGTTCGCTATAAATACGTCTCATCGCCTTTGGGGTTTACCAGTACTATCCTTTCTTCCTTGTTCAGTGTCTTCTTTTCTCATTTCTGGGCGTTTTAAGTTTTTTGAATGTAGTTTTGTGTTTTAGCAACAGTAAGTTGATTTGGTGTGTAAATGATCAGTAATGAAATATTGGGTTTGGATTTGGAAATTGCCTCACCTTTCGGCTGCAAGGATTTGAGATCTAAGGATCGATTTCTTGACGGCTTTGTTCTGGAGGCATAAACTAATTCCCATCCAAAGAGCCTTGGGGGTTTCGGATTAGTTGCATTTTCATTTGCTTCTCTGGCTCCCTTTTCTTTGGTACATCTTTTTCTTCTTTTCTTGGTTAATGCCGTACCAGACCAATTCTTTTCTCTATGATATTTTCTGTGATTAAATTAACCAAACTTAGGTTCCTATCACCATCCGACGGAGTGGTTTAAGGTTCTCAATTCCCCAAATTGGTGGATTTTCATGTTCTGTTAATCGATAACTTGATGGGTTGTGGTTTGGATTTTGGATATAAACTTCGATTAAAAGCTAAAACATGGTTGATAATGGAGTAATGCAAGAAACCACCACTCCACTTGGTAATGCAGAAGTGGAAACTATTAGCTATAGACACTTGGAATAGGAAATTCATGTTGGTGAAAGAGATTCGATTGGCTTGGGCTTGAGATGGTTCCCAGCCGTTCAGCACTAATGAGTATCTACCCAACTTGGGCTTTTGTGTTGATGGTTGCGAGCCGAACAGCCATGATGGCAAATCAAGGAATGGGAAAATGCTCACTATCCGATATCCATTGCCTTAGAAAAGAAAACTTAAGAACGCAAGAAATTATTCCTTATTATTTCAACGCTACAAAGGCAACTCAGGTTTAGGTTAATAACCAAAACATATGTGAAACTCCTGTGGACTTCTTTGGTTCTATGAAACAGATACATCCCACGTTTGTTAACCTACCACAAAGGTCAGAATCAAATCCATTCATTGCCGGTCTTGCTATGTCTGATTCGTTGTAATATTACTTGGGTTTATTCCGGTGATTCAATCAGTGTCGGATACGTGATCTTATGATTCACGACGACGACTCCACTTCTCAAAATCTATAGTTTCTCTGTTTCAACCGTCATGGTGATCTAACATTATATCATATATTCTGGCCATGGCTAGAGGTTGCAATGGACATTTTGCGGACTCGATTTGAAGAATTAAACTTCAATAATTTACAGACTTTACTTAGCCCATTTTATCTTTTTCTCAAAACAATTTGCATTCCCAACCTCGCAATCAAGTACCGCCCCTTCTGAGCTTTAAGGGGGAAATTTCAAAGGAGAAGGGAATAAATTATGGCAAATTGGCAATGACATCATGGCGTCCAGCTAAAAGCCAAAAATGGTAAATGGCAATATACGGAGCATAAAAACTTGCAGCCTTCAAAGTGTGGGCTCAAGTCTCAGCCACCTCGGTCCGGTGGAGGGGTTTGCAACACTTTTAATTTCATTTATTAGATGTAAAGCACAACCATTGTTGTTATTGTTGCTGCTGCTGTTAACCTGCAAAGACTTTCTTGTCTGTTTTCACCTGCACGGTCTTTGTTATAAACCTACAACATCAGCCTTTGGCGTCAAACAATAACTAGAGCCAAAACAGATCTCTGGATTTGATTTCTCTACAACTATTAAAATTCTACTCAAAATGCAAAACAGTAAAACAAAGAAGAAAATAACACGTAATTCTGATGAGGAAAAGGAGCTAAGCCCCACACTGAATTATAATATAGAGATAAGGTGCAATAATTGATATGATGAATTGATTAGACCCAAAAAGAAAGAGCAAATTAAACATATAAAGCTGGGAGATAAACATTGCTATACAAAAAGTAGTTTTTAATGAACAAATGAGGTCACATTGTCCACGCTAAGCATGGGATTGGGTGTTATATATTGCTAGTATTAAGCTATCATGTGATGGCGTCTCGTTCCTTCTGTAAACAATCCTGACAACTCAAGGGGGTTTTAACCTTTACGCATTGCTCATAAATGTCTGCTACAAAGTCGTGTTAACATCTGCAAGTTTTGAAGTGAAGATAGTAGCTAAAACGTCGGTTAAAAGAGTCGCTTAACGAGGCTGCGGAAACGAATGAGAGTTCCCTGATTGCATTACCCAGCTCGTGGTGAAATTAAGGTGACGTTTGATACATTACAATGTAATGTGATTACAAGTAAATATGATTGTAAGTAATGTGATTGCAAGCAATGTGATTACAGGGAAAATAACATTACAGTGTTTGGTATGTAAGCAAAATAATAATTAAAATGCAGAGAAGATAACATTGCAGTGTTTGGTTTACAAATACTTTAGTGAGAATGTAATGTTAATTGTTAAAATTATCCCTAATTATTAAAATATAAGTTTAATATATTTATATTTTTTATTATTAATTTTTATATAATATCATTTCTTAAATATATTTTTAATATCATATATTTTATTTTTATTTATTTTATAATATTTTATATTTTATTTATATTATTAATTTTTATATAATATCATTTTTTAAATATATTTTTAATGTCATATATTTTATTTTTATTTATTATTATAATATTTTATATTTTATTTTTAATATATTTATATTTATATTATTAATTTTTATATAATATCATATTTTAAATATATTTTTAATATCATATATTTTATTTTTATTTATTATTATAATTTTATATATTTTATTTTTAATATATTTATTTTTTTATTATTATTTTTATATAATATCATTTCTTAAATATATTTTCAATGTCATATATTTTATTTTATTTATTATTATAATATTTTATATTTTATTTTTTTAATATCTTTATATTTATATTATTAATTTTTATATAATATTATATTTTAAATATATTTTTAATATATATATTTTATTTTTATTTATTATTATATTTTATATATTTTATTTTTATTTCTTAATATAATTTTTATATTATATATTTATTTTAATTTGTTTTACCTATATTATTAAATGTTAATTTTTTATATTTATTTTATTTTAATTTTTATATTATATATTTTTATTTTAATATTTTTATTTAATTATAATATTATAAAATATTTTTAATAAGGTAATAAAATTGAAGGGTAAAATTGTCTTTAAGAACATTGCAGAGTGCAATGTAATGTGATTGCATTGGTTTTGGACTGTAATCACATTACATCCATTGACTATAATGTGATTGCATTGCAATTTTATTGATCTGTTACAAAATAAATACTGCAATATAATTTAATAAGTCATATTACAGATAATGTACTTTACATTACATTACAGTATACCTATACCAAACGAATCCTAAGTGGAGGCAACCCACGTGAAGAGTCCCACTTCCCGAATCTTTTTTAGCTTAATGTAGAAGCCTCCTGCCTGGAGCCTGGAGGGTGGGAGTGGGACTTGTCTAGAAAAACAAACACAAGCAGTTCAACGACTTACGTATCTACATCTTTTTATTTGGTCCACTCCAAATCCCAAATAAAAAGAAAACAAACTTACCCTGTTAAGTATTAGGAATACAAAAACAAATTAGATGAAGTTAAACAAAAACAAGTCATAAGTGTCCAAGTGTTAAACGATTTACAACCCGGTGACCCAAATGGTCTAGACAACCATTTCTTTCTTTGGAAACCAAAATCCTTCTTTCTAATCAAACATGTGATCCATATGCCTTACGCTATCCTATTCCTACCATCCTTCTCTCTCTGCTTCTCTCTCTATTTCTACTCTTTTAACTCTATAGCGCTAGCAGTTAATGGCCAGAAATAAAACCAAAACCAAAAAAACATGACTTCCATCCTTCTTGGATGGTCAAATTACATGTCTTTGTCTCAGAGGAGACCAGGATCCAAGTTAACTCTTCTGTAGCCTCCCCACAAATATTTTATTTGTCAAATATATATCCCTCTCACTCATAAAATAAACAAAAATTCATCGCGTTAAACTCACTAAGCAATGATTTCACTCCCTTACACAGTTTCTGGTCTATGATTCTACAGTTTCTGAGAAAAAAATGACGAGGTGCTTCAGTTTAACCGAAGCCAAAAACTGGTGCTACAAATTATCCTTCAAAAAATCAGGGCTTCGATCCGCTATTGCAGACCTCCAAGATGGCACCATCATGCACTGCTGGGTCCCCAAGATCCGCAAAGACTCCAAACCTAACCTCCTCCTTATCCATGGACTCGGTGCCAACGCAATGTGGCAATGGGGTGACATCCTACGCCAGATGATCCCTTACTTCAATATCTTCATACCTGACCTTCTCTTCTTTGGAGAGTCCTACACGACTCGGCCTGAACGCTCCGAGTCGTTCCAGGCTCAGTGCGTGATGCGAGTTATGGAGAGAAACTCGGTGAGGAAACTCAGCCTGGTAGGCCTGAGTTATGGTGGGTTTGTTGGGTACAGTTTAGCAGCACAGTTTAGTGAGGCTGTTGAAAGAGTGGTGATATGCTGCGCTGGGGTTTGCATGGAAGAGAAAGATTTAAAGGAAGGGGTTTTCAGGGTATCCGAGTTGGAAGAAGCTGCCAGGATTTTAGTACCGCAGACACCTGAGAAGCTTAGGGAACTCATGGGGTTTTCTCTGTTCCAGCCGCCTCCTTTGAGTTTGCTACCTTCTTGTCTGCTCGCCGATTTCATTGGCGTAAGTGAACCAAAAATTTAGGTCTCTAGAACAAGCACAATTTTCTGATCTTGCTACTGCCAATTGGGTCTCAACATGTCAGCCCTTTTTTTATTTGTTTAATTTGTGGAAGCTTTTCCTTTTAATGTTTGGGCATACGGGCAGGTGATGTGTACAGAGTTTACAGAAGAGAAGAAGGAGCTGATCCGAGCTATACCCAATGATCGAAAGATTTCGAACATTCCCAAGATCACTCAGGTTAGTCTCTTAAACAGTTCTTTGCTTTTTAAGCCCAAATTTTCATCAACCATTTTCTACTTTCTAAACAAAGTTGCTTCTACCATCCAGCCCATGTTGATTTTGTGGGGAGAATATGATCAAATATTCCCATTGGAATTGGGTCACAGGTTAAAAAGGTTTGTATCTTAAATGCTATGGCATCAAATTAATTTCTGCTTCTGCCTTTCTTCTGATTCGAAAATGGTTTAAATTTTTCAAACGTAGGCATCTGGGGGACAATGCTCACCTGGTTGTTATCAAGGACGCGGGACACGCCTTCAACATAGAGAAGCCCAAGGAGTGTTTTAAGCATTTGAAATCTTTTCTTGTCGATTTGCGGCCTCCTCCAGCGAGCCCTCCTCCCAAGATTGAAAACCGTAAGTTATCTTGCAATGCAGCAGAGTTACAGCCTTGAAAGTGAAGTGCAACAGCTAAGTTGTATGTAATTTCTTACCATCTTTACCTTCATCGGGAAAAAGAAGTGAACATCTCATTTTGATCAGAAAAACAGAAAACCTATTAAGCTATTACAAAGGAGAGTCGTTGTTCGATACTGCCATTTCCTTAAGAGCATCAGGTGCTTTTTTTAGTGTTTTCTTTTTTGAGTATTTATTAGGGGAATCCAAGGTACAAATTCTTGCAAGTTTGTTTTCCCCCTTTGCTAAAGCCTCATAGGTAGTTTCACATACATGTGTGTTCACCCTCCCTAATAAATGAATTTCAGTCATTATTTTTCCCCATGTGCTATTATTCTGTCACCATTCACAAACAGGTTAATGCCCATAGAATTCCATGTCTTTAGATCAAATCCAGCCAAAAATCAGAACTGCCCAAGAACTAGACTACCAAGCATTATGTTGTTTACGAGATGAGAGTTTTAGGTAAATAATTTAGGTTCAACCCATAAAGCTTGCTCTTTTTCCTTTTTACATTTAAATCCTTTCTTGGGGGGGCAACGATGATGCTAAAAATATATATTAGAAGGCATTTTCCAATTCATAATTAGGTTCCATTATAAAAGGTAGAGTAGATATCCCAAAGAACCCTTTTAGCCAGTAGGACCGGCGAGTATATACGTGCAAACATCATCATGGCCAATAGCTAACAGAGGATGGTTGATTTATCAGATAACTGCTTTCGAAAACAAGGAAACAAAGCCAATGCGTCATTTGCCCAAATGGATGTCTGGAATTGAACACTGACCCATGACATAAAATTTCCAAAAGGTTCCAGTTCGAATTCAACCCAGTTGCTCCACAAATATCTATCCTCTCGTTTGAAATTTCTCAAAAATGAATATCAAATTGAACCTTTACGCTATGGATAAACATTAAACCAAGATAAGGCTGGAAAGCACAAGTGTGATCATAAAATGAAGAACGAGCAAAATGAGCAAAGTCTAAAGTTAATCACACATCAGGTAGCAACAGACTGAAAAAGAAGCTAGTTAAGCAAAAAAATAGAAACACATTAGAAAATAGAGGTCATAAGACTACAAAGTAACAGATTCAATTATGTTTAAACAGAAGAGAACAGAGCAACAGTCTGGAAAACATCTGACCAACAAATTGATACAAGCCATAGGTCACGAATCCTTGTACTACTATTATGAGTTGAAAGCAGGTCACTCTAGCAGCAAGCCCTTTCTACCTCGACAAGCCCAGTCTTAAAAGAATACTCTTCCATCCAATTAGCTCTGCAAAGATAAGGGAACAACATTGAAAAAAAAAAGGTTTGTTTGTTGAAAGCAAAAGAAAGAGTGACAACGATAATAAGATAAAAGTCACCAGATGATCAATCCAACTAAAAACTACTCAAAATGAACATTTTCTTACCTCTGCCTGAGGTTCATCTCCTTTGGTTTGGTCACCTGGAATATCAAACAACAAATTTGCAAAAAGGACGTTATTAGTTGCAGTTGACTACAGAACTTGTTAAAACCAGAAAGTGATTCGCAGGAGGAAATTATGCTTCTTGAGACTAACCATATACATATGAAAGTCCAGACAGAAAATAAGCAAACCATAAAAAGCCAGATATGCACATACATATATTCACTTGTTAACCAGACACACACAGACATTTACCTCCTTCCTCTGGCAGATCTGAGGTCCATAAGGTGAGATTATCCCTGAGAAGCTGCATAATAAGGGTGCTATCCTTGTAAGATTCTTCATTAAGGCTATCAAGTTCTGCAATAGCCTCATCAAATGCTTGTTTAGCCAGGTGACATGCCCTGCTCAGAATATTGCATCATATCAGACAGAAGCTAGCCGCCAAAGTGGAACTTGTATTAATAGCTCCGTGCTTTATCTATGATTTTTAAGATAAGAACAATGCATACTGAGGAAACTATTATGAAATTCGCACTAAGTGAAAGAAACTATTAGCATTGCCATCTTTCTCCCTAATGAAAAGAAAATTTTCACACTGGATTACATGTGTGTGTGTGTGGTGTGAATGGGAGAGATCAAGAGAGAGAGATGCAATCTAACCTCTCAGGAGAATTTAATATCTCATAGTAGAAAACAGAGAAGTTCAAAGCCAGGCCCAGTCTAATAGGGTGAGTTGGAGGTAAATCTGTGGTTGCAGTGGAGGTGGCAGCCTACAATGTAAATAAAGATAAACAGTCCTCCAACTTCATGATATCAAATCAACATAGGAGAAGAACATGAAAAGTGGGAAATTTCACACACCTCATAAGCCTTAAGTGACTGATCAGCGGCATCTTTACGATCATCAGTTGCTTTAAATTCTGCCAAATAACGAAAATAATCTCCTTTCCTGTTAAAGAGAAGGCAACAAATAAGGGCATACACCCACTGCCTAAAAACATACAGGCAAGTAAGATAATCCTCACATCTTATAGTAAAAAACTGTTGATTCCCCAGTTGAGGAAGATGGGATGAGGTGCTTATCAATAACAGATAGTATATCATTGCAGATCTTTGAAAGCTCATCTTCAACCCTCTGCCTGTACTCTTTTATCCTCTTCACATTTTGCTCATTACCCTTGGCCTCCTCCTTCTGTTCAATTGAAGACAGTATCCGCCATGATGCCCTTCTTGCTCCAATCACATTCTTATATCCCACAGATACCAGATTCCTCTCCTCCACAGTCAGTTCAACATCCAACATTGCAACCCTCTTCATGGCCTCGACCATTTCTGGAACAAAATTTTTCACAACAAAACAGCTTTCAAACGAGGTAAAAATTCCAACAAACTAGCAGATGAGTGATGAGTCTCATGGATGCTCATGACTACGATTAAACAGATGCTACCCTATGTTATCACTTTTATATAGTTTTTCTATTTGCATTCCGTTTCTTCAAAAGTTGTTAAAAGGTAAAACCAAATAGAGTAAGAAACAATATCATATTTGATCGAGAACGAGCAATTACTTAAAAGGTAACACATTTCAAACATAACCATTTCACATGAAAGTAAAATGAAGCATCTGTTCCTAAACCGATTAGTCAAAAATACTACATTAAAATCGCACTTCTTTGCGCCTAGATAAGCGAATCTCGTCTTCTTTACTATCCATCTGCTACAAATAAAAAGAAAATTTAACTAAAGAGAAATGAACTGCTTTACTTTTACTCTCAACTTCATTACATATTTCCAGTATAATATTATCAAATCAGTACTAAAGCCTCAGCTATCATCTACCCTACAGATCATGAAGCTGAAAAAACAAGCAAAAAGGCCAAAATAAAGGACAAAAAGAAAAAAGAGACATCACAAAAAAAAAATAAAAAATAAAACTATCATATAAATCAGATA